CTACGGTCTCCGCCAGGCGCCACGTGAGTGGCACGACACACTGAGGACGACACTTGCGGCTCTTGGGTTCGCTCCCTCTACTGCTGACCCGTCGCTGTTTCTACGCACCGACACCTCGCTGCCGCCGTTCTACATCCTCGTGTACGTCGACGACTTGGTCTTTGCCACTGCTGACACCGCGGCACTCGCTCACGTGAAGTCGGAGCTGCAGAGGAGACACACGTGCACAGACCTGGGTGAGCTGACGAGCTATCTTGGCTTGCGGATCACCCGGGACAGAGCACGGCGCACCATCACCCTGACTCAGTCACACATGGTGCAGCAGGTTCTCCAGCGCTTCCGCTTCACGTACTCCTCGCCTCAGTCCACTCCTATGCCTACCGGTCACTCGCTCTCAGCTCTGCCTTCGGATGAGTCCGTAGAGCCGAGTGGCCCGTATCCAGAGCTTGTGGGCTGCCTCATGTACCTGATGACCTGCACTCGACCTGACCTTGCATACCCTCTTAGCATCCTAGCACGCTATGTCGCTCCTGGCCGTCACCGGAAGGAGCACATGGATGCTGCTAAGAGGGTGTTGCGCTACTTGTGCAGTACGTCGGGCATGGGGCTTGTGCTTGGAGGGCGAGACCGGGTTGTTCTCACAGGGCACTCAGACGCTTCTTGGGCAGACGACCAGGCTACTCAGCGGTCGTCCCAGGGTTACACCTTCAGCCTTGGCTCTGGCTCAGTTTCTTGGCGTTCTACTCGCTCTTCTTCTGTTCTCAGCTCCAGTTGTGAGGCTGAGATCTACGCCACAGCCATGGCTGCTCAGGAGCTACGCTGGCTGACCTACCTGCTGACCGACCTCGGAGAGCGGCCTCGTTCTCCTCCAGTGCTGTACGTCGACAACAAGGCTGCCATTGTCTTGTGTGAGGAGCACAGACTGGAGCACAGAACGAAGCACATCGCTCTGCGGTACTTCCTTGCTCGAGAGCTGCAGCAGCGTGGTCAGCTTTGTCTGCGTTACGTGGCCACGGAGGCCAACACTGCTGATGTGTTCACCAAGGCGCTTCAGCCTTGTGACCATCAGCGCTTTTGCACGCTGCTAGGCCTTGTACCTACTGGGCCTCACTTGCTTACCTCTTGACCTTGCTTGTACTGTGATCACTATATATATATGCCTACTTGTTTACTTTTGCTAGGTTGTGATCACTGTATCTCTTGCTTTGTTATAAACCTGCATGTGAACTGGTCTTGTGACCGCTTGCTTGTGCTCGGAATTTGTGTGGAATCCTTGAGATCCACCCTGAGCTTGCTTTGCTTTGCTTTGACTGGTCTTGTGACCCTGTGGTTGTCTCCCACTGCGCCTATGGGGGTGTGTCAAACATTGCATGTTTATATTATGTAGGCTGTAGTGGGTTACACCTTAGGGGGTACTCAAAGTTAGGGTTTCCTACTTGTACCAAACTCTGTGCTAGTTCATCCCATTCCTGCTCAGTTATTCTAACATGATTTGTTTCCCAGGAAAGCGACATCGTAAACTTCACGAAAACGTTCACGGAAACGTGAACTTCACGAAAAATGGAACTCAATTCCCGCGCCGCCAGGTTTACTGTGCTTGAAAAGCTACACCTGATGACTTCTAAAGCCCTCGTTCTGGGAAGTTCGGACTCACTCGAGCATCTCTTGCGCCTAATCTGTATCGCGAAATCGGTGGGTTGACTCTCTTTGTCATCATGCGCAACTCCGCAAGTTCACAAACCACAGTTGCCAGAAACAGTGCGTTGCGCGTGAGATTGCATGTAAAACCTGACCACTTGGACTGTCGCCGGATGTACGTATTTTCGAGCGTAGAGGCGGGCTTTCGCGAGCATGGTGTACATTCAGAACGGCCCTGAATGCCTCGTTTCCCTAGAACCGACAACGTTGGCTTGCGAATGGCCGTTCCTTGTGCAACCGTCCTTCTAACACAAGACGGTGTAATTTTGAGTCCATCCGAGCCCTGGTGGGCGCATTTCCACCAGGTGGCCCTCTGGTGGAAACTCGTTTCCACCAGGACGCGGAGCTGGCGGAAGCGATCTGCCCGGGGCAGGAAAAAACTAAACCCCATCGCGACCTGCATGCCATTCGGGAGCCTCAACCCTAAAATTTTAGGGTTGAGGCTCCCGAGCCGCATGCCATCCGACTGGGGTTTAGTTTTTTTTGCCAGCGGGCAGATCGCTTCCGCGAGCACGCGGAAGCGATCCCGCATTCGCCCGTGTTTTATTGTTCCTGCTCGTATGAACCTATGAAACCGAATCGGGTAGCTGTGGATGAACAGCGTCATAGACAGCGGCAGAGGTATCACACGCTACCCGACAAGGAGCTACCCGACTCGGGTTTAGGGTGACAAGGAGCTACCGGACTCGGGTTTAGGGTGACAAGGAGCTACCCCATCCCAAAAAATTCCGCCAGAGCTACATTGTAGTCACACCGTTGCTGCATGCGAGATCCGATGCACCCACAATGCCTCCGACTACACTGTACTTATAGGTTATGCTACAAACATTTTACTTCGAATCCGATAGGGGGTGGCAATAGGGTAACCACATAGTAGCTACACCCGATACATATGTAGTAACAACATTGTAGACAATCTAAATTTACTACGAAGCCACTCCCTAGCCAAGCATGCAATAAGTACATAGTAATTGCAAAGTGCTTTTACACCAATTTCAGGCATTGCATGTCTATTATTCAATTAACGATTCCAGCTTATGAAATGCTTCCAACAAAAGGAACCGAAATCCAATAAATGTATAGAACGTTACAAATAGACATACTAAAACAACCAACTTCGTAAACGCAAAGGAATATGTTTACGTAGAGTGGTCCTACAAAGTGACCGAACCTGTAGCAACAAGGGATAAACACATACCTGAAAAAACATAGTCAATAATCAACATTTAAGAAAGCGCAAGTACTTACCCGGGTTCAGCCACCACTTCCATGAAAATATCATGATCTAACAGTAAGCAACTAATAAAAAATCAACATAACAGCACATTCTGCAAGGTCAAACCTTTAGCCTGCAAAATTTAACAACATACATGCACCGTTAGTGTTAGGACGGAAGAGAGAGAAAACGTCTAACCTTTCGCCTGCAAAATCGCACATACGTGAACCGTTAGTGTTACGACAAAAGACAGACAGGCGCCACCAACACATACAAGAACCATTAGTGTTAGGAAAACAAGCAATACAATGCTTCATGTGGTAACAATGCGCGCATGCACCACCTCGGGCTTCCCGTACGCGCGCACGCTCCGCACCTCACCGAACGCGCGCGCCACGTCGCGCAGCCGGCGCACGAACGAAGCGCAGTCGGCGCCGACAGGCACTGGGCAGTTCTCGTAATCCCTGAACACGCCCAACCCGGGCGAGCATGTTGCCGACCCCGATACCGGTTGAAACGAGTGCGACGGTAGGAGGTGCTGGAGCGGAGGGTGTGAGGTGCTGGAGCGGGGAACGGAGGCAGGTAGGAAGGGGAAGTTGGGAAGGAAGGGTTGCTGGTGGGAGGGTCTTTTTCTATGCAAGAAGGCTGTCTGGAAGCTGAGAAATGAGAGGAGACGATGAAGGTTGGGGTTGACTATACTCAGAGATGTGTGTGTCTCCGCCGAAATCTGGACTTGAACCAATCGCAATTTGAGTAGCATTATCTTGGTCTTTCATCTCTCGATCGTGGCCTTTGAATGACAGTTGAATCGACGGATGACGTTCCAACTAGATCACATCTCACGTCCGATCGTAGCCACCCAAACTTTGTTTAGATCGACGGTTGAGAATCCAACCTCTTGGAAATCTCAACAAAATCGAGAATCTTCTTAGAATGCACGTAAAATCTCGACCATCCAGCGAACTTTAAATCGACGGTTCTGATTCCAGCTCGGATAACTTTCATCCGATCGTAACCGTTCGAAGAATATCTAATCGACGGTTACGATTCCAACTGACAAGATCTCCATTGTTTCCAACTCAGCGCTCCGAATCGATCGCAACCGTCAATTGCGAGCATCGACGGTTCTTATTTTTCGGTGGCCGAAATTCGCTCCAGCTGGTTTTTTGGTTTGACTAGTACGTTTTCGTGTCTAATTGTGATGCTTTGTGTTAGATTGGGAGCTATAAAAAAGGGCTTCGAACGAAATAGTAATTGTATTTGTTTGACATTATACCGAATATTTCGACCAAGTTTGGAGGAAGTACAGGCCTGGTAGGTCCATTGTAGGTTTGGAACCCAACCTACAATGTATGCTCGAACATTTTGGGTTCGATCTGTCATCAAGGTATACACACAGTAGCCACTACCAAACCTTGTACATGCTACCTAGTTACATTTGGGTAGGTTCGGCAAGCGTGGTTGGTACAAGGTACATCCAAAACAATGTAGGTTCAGTGCACACATCACACACAGAGCGGCCTAGGGTTCGGAGTCCCTACTTCATGTCATGCTACCCCAACCCCCTCGAAACAAATTTTGGGATGCCGACAAGGAGACTGGAGTGGGGGATGTTCGCTACCGATCTCCCCTTCCCACCGTCTCACTGGTGCAAGGGGAGGGGAGAAAATGGGGAAGTCACTTCCCCATGGAGGGGGGGGGAAGAATGGGGGAGTGGAGGGGATCCCCGCTCGATCCCGAGGGGAGTGAGGGGGACGGTCAGTATCCCTTCACATCGTACTTAGGCCGCTCGGCTCTCGCTCTTCTTGGAAGAAGAGTGGAGTCCACTCCTCACATCTGCGCATCACCTCTGGCAGCAGTGCTGCGGCTGGTGCTTCTAGCCCTTCTCGTCCCGCCTGTTGGCCACGTAAGGCGCGAGGGGAATCATGGCTTCGCACGGCGTGCCTGTGATGCGGCGGCGATTGGGCCTCGTGCTCACTGCGATGGCTGCTCTCATGCTCTTAGGTATGCTCTCATGCTCTTAGGTATGCTCTCATGCTCTTAGGTATGCTCTCATGCTCTTGGGTAAGCTCTCATGCTCTTGGGTATGCTCTCATGCTCTTGGGTATGCTCTCATGCTCTTAGGTATGCTCTCATGCTCTTGGGTATGCTCTCATGCTCTTCGGTATGCTCTCATGCTCTTGGGTATGCTCTCATGCTCTTAGGTATGCTCTCATGCTCTTATGTATGCTCTCATGCTCTTAGGTATGCTCTCATGCTCTTAGGTATGCTCTCATGCTCTTAGGTATGCTCTCATGCTCTTAGGTATGCTCTCATGCTCTTAGGTATGCTCTCATGCTCTTAGGTATGCTCTCATGCTCTTAGGTATGCTCGCATGCTCTTAGGTATGCTCTCATGCTCTTAGGTATGCTCTCCATCAGAAAAATGTGAAACTGCCGAGTATGTTGGGGGGGGGGGGGGGGGGGAGGGGGAGGGGGTCATTTTCCAAGTTGGAGGCTGATGGTTTTTGATGGTTAATGAGGTGAAATTCGTTATACTGTTTTTTCCGGCAGTTTACCATCGTGTGCGATCAGGTTATTCCGGCAGATTGTCGTAGGCTCGTCAGGTCGTTAACGACCACCCCACTGCATCACCGTTTATCTCCGTTTTGCTGATGCGCACTGTACACGTGGACAACAAGAGCATGGTTCGAGGTGTTTGTATTTGGGGGCTTACGAGCGTTTTCGTTGGGTGTTTTTTTCCAGAAAGATATGGCGATCGATGGGGAGATGTGTGGATCGTGTTACCAACCACCACTTCACACGCAGATTCTCCTTTGCGTGGAAATGGTGGTTGGTTCTTGCCACGTCAGCCCTGTTCTGGTAACTGTTAATGTAACAAATTCGCCAACATGGCATCTTGGTTGGTTTATTCGGACATTTCAATATGTGCAATGTTTCTGTTATGCTGTTTGTTTAATGTATTTGATTATGTTATAATAAGAAATTATATTACCTTCCTCTCGTTGCTAATGTTTTGACAATGTATCCGTTAGATTGTTTTATATGTAAATGTGTAGTGAAATTGTAGTAACATTCAGATTGCATTTTCTATTTTTATGTAACTGCTTTTATTATGAGAGTATAATGTTTTGTTATTAATCTTTTCGTGACATTGGAGGAGCTAATTACATATTCTATGTCTGGCTGAGAGTTAAAGTGTCGTCCTGTGTTGTTTTGTATTTTTAAGATCTTAATGTTCCATTTAGCTGTAACCAAGACACTAGTGGATACTTTGTTTTGAGAGAATAATTCTCTGCCTCAAAGCACCGCATTTCACGGTTCATCAATCTAGCAACAAAACGCGTTTCGGGGCCACAATTATTGGTGCCCCTCTCCTGAATCGTGCTGGAACGTTGTCCATCGTTTTATACCTACGACGAACCTTAATCACACGCTTTGAACGCCTTTTTATCGCGATGTCAGAGGTGTCACTACCCAAACTCTGAATTATATGTGCGCGACTCCGTCACTCTTCCATCCACACCCAACCCTTCTCTCAAATTCCTTTTGGAATTCACTCGACATCTAGGCACCCCTGTGAAGCGTGAATCCGGCTTCCTTGCAGAGGTAACGCAACAATAGTGGCAACCGCATCGTTGCGTTAGTATCCGCGTCCCGCGGTGCGTCGAAAATACCCTAGCTCAGCAGCGATTAAGCGCCAATCGGCGTCGTTGCCGCTGCATGCGACGATACCGCCCGAAGAACGCCATAAGCTTCTAATTTCTGGTTTTCTGGCGAATTGCACGAGAGCAATTCCAGAAGCGACCCCGCAAAAGACTGGGACATTGGCAAAAGCGGCTCAGCAGCGACACGGGCCGTAACTCGATAAGCTGCGAAAAGCACGGCTTAGAGAGATGGCGTACGGTGAGGCGGTGTCTACATCGTTTGACGGAACTTGGCGCAACAAGCGACGCCTGTGTCCGGCGACGACTCAACTAGGTAAGCTCTCTGGCCGCCATTACCTCTCTCCCTTTCACGTTCCGACCGCTCCTCATAGTGCTCACGCCGTGACAAACCTTCGTTGAATACGCCGGCAAATGCATTAAGAAAATCCACGTTAGAAATAGCAACGTAGCGAACGAACGTAGGATAGCGACGTAGCATGTATTTGTTATACCACTCTCTCTCTCTCTCTCTCTCTCTCTCTCTCTCTCTCTCTCTCTCTCTCTCTCTCTCTCTCTCTCTCTCTCTCTCTCTCTCTCTCTCTCTCTCTCTCTCTCTCTCTCTCTCTCTCTCTCTCTCTCTCTCTCTCTCTCTCTCTCTCTCTCTCTCTCTCTCTCTCTCTCTCTCTCTCTCTCTCTCTCTCTCTCTCTCTCTCTCTCTCTCGCTCGCACGTCTCGGTTCTCTATCTTTGCATCTCGCTCCCCATCCAACCCTCACTCTCTGCAATCCAGGCCGCTCTCAAACGCTCTCTTTGGCCCACCGTTGCTCCCTCTCCATCACCCCCTCGGTCGGTCTCTCTCTCTGTCCAAACCCTTGCTCTCTCTCTCTCTCTCTCTCCGCCTCTGCTGCAGTATCTCTCTCTCTCCGCCTTCGTTGCTCTCTTCTCCCGCATTCTCTCTCCCCGCATTCTCCCTTCCTCGCGATCTCTATCCCGCGCAATCTCTTTCTCTCTCTCGCAATCTATCTCGCTCTCCAGCATTATCTCTCCCTCTCCTACATTCACTCTCTCTCCCCCGCATTCTATCTGCTGCCCTCGCTCTCCCTCTCTCTGTCGCTCTCGCTCTCCCTCTTCTGCCACTCTCGCTCTCCCTCCCTCTGCCGCTCTCGCTCTCCCTCTCTCTGCCGCTCTCGCTCTCCCTCCCTCTGCCGCTCTCGCTCTGTCGCATTCTCTCTCTAGCTGCCGCATTATCTCTCTCGTGTCCTCTGCCGCATTCTCTGTCTCGCTCTGCCGCATTATCTCTCTCTCGCGCTGCCGCATTCTCTCTCTCGCTCTGCTGCATTCTCTCTCTCGCTCTGCCGCATTCTCTCCATATCGCTCGCTGCCGCATTCTTATTCTCGTTTCCGCATTCTCATTCTCTCTCCCGTTGCCGCATTCTCTCTCTCGCTCTGCCGCTTCTAGAGAGGAAGCGGCAGAGCGAGAGCGAGAATGCGGCAGAGCGAGAGAGAGAATGCGGCAACGGGAGAGAGAATGAGAATGCGGAAACGAGAATGAGAATGCGGCAGCGAGCGATATGGAGAGAATGCGGCAGAGCGAGAGAGAGAATGCGGCAGAGCGAGAGAGAGAGAGAATGCGGCAGTGCTCACAACATATCCCAAAAGGCAATCAAGGCATTGTTTGACATACTCTTCCACCAAGCATTTCAACTTCCGCAGATGGTTGGATGGAAGTCGGCGCGGGATGTCCAACAATACCTTGAATCACGTGCGCCTGATAAGCATCGAGGTTGGAGACGGAAGACCGTTCACGTTGGAAATAAGGCCTGGGTCGAGTATTGGTATTGTGATGGCCTTGTTGCGTTGCAGGACTTGCTGAAGCACCCGAAACTGGCTCCTAAGATGAGCATGCAATCACGTGTCGTTAAGGACGGGGACGTGAGGGTGTTTACTACTCCCGAAATGGCGATGTGGTGGGAGAAACTCCAGGAGAAAATTCGAGAAGTCAACCCCGACAGAAAATTCCTGTATCTCACACTTGGGAACATCGACAAAGACGACAGGTGGAAGCCGTATGGGCATGTTTTGCTTGCTTTGCTCCCGAGTACCCCCAAGAGTATGATTCTCTAGATAAGACACAAGTGTTTCACTATATTATGAATCAGGTCATGGCGGGGTTGAAGCGTGCATCCCATACCGGTGCAAATATGGTGGATGCGGAGGGCAAGGTTATCAATGTTTGGCCATCCATGTATGCACATGTTACGGATTACCCCAAGTCGTGCAAAGTAACGTACACAAAGTCGGGTACGACGTTGTTTCCTTGCTCGCTATGCAAGGTGCCAAAAGAGAAGCTGTCGAAGCTCACCGACCGCATCGACGCGCGCACACCATCGGAGCAATGTGTCGTGGTCAAGGCGGTTGCTACAAAGACCATCAAGGACGACTCTGATGAGTCACTGTCGACCCACCCTGTACAGGTATGGTGTACTCTTGGTTATGGCCCTGTTGTATGTTAAACGACGCTTAACTATTCTGCTTTTGTCTCTTGCAGAGCTACCTATGGGGATGGCGATGGGAGGCGGAGAGTCTACTAAACCCTTACCTAGCAGTGCTACCCGACATTATGCACCAAGCTGATCTCGGCATTTTTAGCACATAGTTGATAGCATAAAGGCGCACATTAAGGAGTTCTTTCCTTCGAAGTTGAGGTTGCTTGATGAGCGTCAAAAGGAGATTAGAAAGTCATTGAAGGGGGGGGTGCATTAGGTTTCCATCGGGTGAGTATTTTGCAAAGGGTGCAAACTACCAGGCCTACGAGCATCGTTCGGTGATGCAGATTCTACCTTTCATAGCGAAAGGGTTCATTGACGACGATCAGATGGTGGCTTTGGTTTCATACATCGAGTGGTATTTGGAGTGTGCACGAGCGGGCGAGCACATCGAGGCAAGTCTGACCGAATTGAAGTCCAAAGCACACCGGTGAGCGGTAATGCCTTTTATGCTTGACACGTTATTTTCATTCACCCACCGTGCAAAATCTGATCCATACACTCTTTTATTTGTAGTGTGATACACGGCCTGACGACGCATTTCCAGCAGGCATCCGACTGGAACTTCATAAAAATGCATCTCATTAGCCACTTCATAGATTCGATCCGTCGTGCAGGATTGCCAGAGCACTACTCCGCACAACTCTACGAGCACTTGCACATAGAGTTCATCAAGACACCATATCGCGCATCTAACAAGCGCACAGTGAATGCACAGGTTGTACATAGCGAGGAGCAGCGCTTGAGGTTGCAAGCAATCGCACCCATGCTCGGAGCGAAGAAGACGTACGACACGGCGATGATCAAGGTGAGAGTCTAGTGTTTATTTTGTGTTGTCACTTGGATCAATCGTTATTTATAGCGGTCTAACGCGTCGATACAATTCCACATACCCCCGCAGGCACAAAGGACGGGCGTGCGAGTGCTCTCGCGTCGATCGTGGCTTCTTCACGTTCCTCGCGGACGGGTGGCGGCACCTTTCTGCATCCCGAATGCGCCACAGGCGAATCGTGATGCGATGCTCGAGAAGGAGATTGGTGCTGATTTGAAGCACCTGCGGACGGCACTGAACGCAGCCTCTGGGTGCAACAACAAGGGCGAAGACATCAAGAGCATACAAGTATGTTATGGTCGTCATTACTACAATCGACGTAACACCAAGGCCCTTTCACGTTAGATGCCTAAGCTTTTATTACTTTGACGTTGTATTTTGTCTTTGCGTCAGGTGCATTGGGAAATGGCCATGCCAGCGGTCGACGCACAGTACAGCCGACTACCTCATCGAGTGCGCGCCCTGCCGAGACACCATGGCCGGCCATGGTATTCAGACGTGGCTGTGAAGGGGGAGACAGAGGATGGCCATGAGGAGTGGTATGCAAAGGTCCTATTGCTGTTTCACTGCAAGGTGGACAGGATGACAAAGGAGTACGCATACGTCAAGTACTATGACGTGCTGCCTGCATTAGATAGCTGTACCAACTGCAAGCGCCTGAAATGGCCCCCGCTGGTAGCTAGGTATCAGGTGATTGAGATACATAGCATCAAGCGGGCTGTGCATCTAGTGCAGCTTGATAGGGCTGTAGATATGTGGTTAGTGAACCGTTTCACATGGTGATACACAACACGACAATTGATTCTACCGTGCATGGATTGGCTTGAGCGCAACATGTGAGATTGTAAACGTATCATAGCTTTTATTACCACTGATTGCGAAGCCACTACCCTCCTACATCCAATTTTCAAGCCATATGAAGTGATTTCAGCACGTACGCACAAGTAAACAGCACGTGGCGCATGTTTGTGCCTTCAAATAGTGAATCTGTGAAAGGATAGGCCCGTGCGCAACAAGTCGTCTGATGCGCCAACGTCTGGATGCCTTTTTTACCATTATTTCTTACACACACTTCCCTAGCGCATCCTATTGCCTAGCCAAAGGAACTGGATTGAGCTCGTTCGGACAACTACACAACATGTGACGCATGTTTGTGCGTTCCTTGACGAATCCGTGCAAGGATAGGCCTGTCCGCAACATGTCACCGTTTCAACGTCTGGGCGTTTATTATACCTCTATTTCCTCACACGGTTCCCTAGTACATCCTTTTTCCTAGCCACAGGAAGTGGGTTGACCTCGTTCGCACAAGTACGCAGCACGTGGCGCTTGTTAGTGCATTTGCTGGCCTGAAACTGTGCAAGGATAGGCCCGTGCGCAACATGTTACTGTTTCGACGTTTGGATGTTGTTTTTACCTCTACTTCCTCACACAGTTCCCTAGTACATCCTATTTCCTAGCCATAGGAAGTGTGTTGACCTCGTTCGCACAAGTACGCACGGAAGGCACTTGTTTGTGCATTTGCTGGCCTGAAACTGTGCAAGGATAGGCCTGTGCGCAACATGTTACTGTTTCAACGTCTGATTAGCTCTATTTCCTCACACAGTTCCCTATTACATCCTATTTCCTAGCCATAGGAAGTGGGTTGACCTCGTTCGCACAAGTACGCAGCACGTGGCCCTTGTTTGTGCATTTGCTGGCCTGAAATTGTGCAAGGATAGGCCAGTGCGTAACATGTTACTGTTTCGACGTCTGGATGTTATTTCTTCACACAGTTCTCATCATCATGCGCACGTTTGTGCGTTTGCTGGCCTGAATCTGTGCGAGGATAGGCCTGTGCGCAACATGTCACTGCGCCAACGTCTGCATGCTATTTTTGCCACTATTTCTTCACACAGTTCTCATCATCATCCTATTACCTAGCCATAGGAACTGATTTCATCTCGTTAGCACAACTACGCAGCTCGTGGCGCATGTTTGTGCGTTTGATGGCCTGAATCTGCTCGTAGATATGCCTATGCGCAACATGTCACCGCGCCAATATCTGGATGCCTTTTTTACCACTATTTTTTCACACAGTTCTCATCATCATCCTATTACCTAGCCATAGGAACTGATTTCATCTCGTTAGCACAACTACGCAGCTCGTGGCGCATGTTTGTGCGTTTGCTGGCCTGAATCTGTGCGAGGGTAGGCCAATGCACAACATGTCACTGCGCCAACATCTGGATGCTATTTCTGCCACTATTTTTTCACACAATTCTTATCATCATCCTATTACCTAGCCATAGGAACTGATTTCATCTCGTTAGCACAACTACGCAGCTCGTGGCGCATGTTTGTGCGTTTGCTGGCCTGAATCTGTGCGAGGATAGGCCTGTGCGCAACATGTCACTGCGCCAACGTCTGGATGCCTTTTTTCCCTATTTCTTCACGCAATTACCTAGTGCATCCTATTCCCTAGCCATAGGAACTGGTTTGAGATCATTCGCACAACTACACAGCACGTGGCACTAGTTTGTGCATTTACTGGCCTACAACTGTGCAAAAATAGGCCTGTGCGCAACGTGTCACTGTTTCAACATCTCAGTGTTACTTTTACCTCTATTTCTTCACACAGTTCCCTAGTACATCATATTTTCTGAGCATAGGAACTGGTTTGAGATCATTCGCACAAGTATACAGCACGTGGCGCATGTTTGTGCATTTGCTGGCCTGAAACTGTGCAAGGACAGGCCTGTGCGCAACATGTCACCGCGCGAACGTTTGGATGCCTATTTTAGCATTATTTGTTCCCATAGTTCTCTACTAATCCTACTCCGTAGCCATAGGAAGTCGTTTGACCTCGTTCGCACAACTACACAGCGCGTGGCGCATGTTTGTGCGTTTGCTGGCCTGGGTCTGTGCAAGGATAGGCATGTGCGCAACATGTCACCGCGCGAATGTTTGGATGGCTTTTTAGCACTATTTCTTCACATAGTTCTCTACTACCTCCTACTCCCTTGCCATAGGAAATGGTTTGACCTCGTTCACACAACTGTAGATTGATGTGTCGTATTAATGACACTTGTATATTGCATAACACCAACATTTAGGCGTACATGGATTACGTACATTTTAAAAGGTTACTTATTTCACTACCTGCTTAAAAGGTTTGAAAAAAACACACTTAAAGTGCAACCAAAGTATACAGATATGATGATTGGGCTGGGCAATAATGTTTATAAGTATAGTATAACCAAGTTATTCGTGCGAACGTTACCTAGTGTACATTGCGCCGGTTGGGAAATTACATAGTATCACTATGTTGGAAACTCCATTCCGTGGCCACGTCATGTCTGCCAACAGCTGGCAAAAGACACCCTTTAGTGGCCAATAGGAAACCGCCGAGGCGAACCAACGCATCATAATCCAGCCACGTTCATAGAACTGCCCCAGTGCTGGATAGGGTGAGGGGTGTCATAGGCGGCTAGTTGCCGCGTGGCTTTGCATGCGTGGCGAAGTCCTGTGCAATGAACCTGGTTGCCTGGTTGCGTGGTTCATTTCCGTGCTGAGCTGTGGTGCCCCACTCTCGAAACTTCCAATTACCTGTCGTGCTGTAGAAGTGAAGATTCCATCTTGACGGTGTGGATCGATCGAGATCCACATTTCTGCTGTCGTGCTCATCTGACGGTCTCGACATAACCAGCTGACAGCATTCGCACTGACGGTTGCGATGTTATCGTACATTTATTTCAGCAGCAATGTGCGCCGTCATGTACGTCTGACGGCTCCGGACCGTGGGGGTGTCAAGATGCTCGCACCGCACGCGGCGTGGCCAGCCGACCTCGCGCAAGCCAACCAATCATCGGATTTCGCAACATCTTTGCCCGATTTCTTTTTGCTGACGTTTCACTCCCGAAGAGGAATAGGCGGTCGAAACGTTTTCGTGCAAGTTTTGATGCTTCCGAAGTATCATTACACCTGGTATATGAAGCCGTTATTTTCACAGACGATGATATATCGTCGTATACGATGGGGGAAGTAGAAGAAACAAATTACCGGGCAGGGAATGGGCTGACCAGAAGGGTTCAGGGGGTGGGCGAGGAGCTGGAGGGGGGCACGCTTCCATCGCCATTTGCAGCAGAACTGACTGAAGCAGAAGCAGACGCACTTGTGAAAAACCTCCGAGCCCTCTACCAGCAAGCTCTCAAGCGCCGTGAGACGATTGCTAGCAACGTCGGCAAGACCAAGTGTGTTCACACCCTCTCTGGTGTGCCGGTTCCTAAGAAAAAATCTCGCGCCGCTAAGTCCGGTAGGCAGAAAGGCAAGCAGGGGAGGAAGGCAGGAGCTACTACAGGCAGTCAAGCTGACTTACCTGCTCCCGCGTCTACCGAGGAGGAGCTTGTCACAGAGGGGCTCCCGGACCTCCCTCTGCCAGCAAGTTCCCAGCAGCAGCAGCAGACCGTTGCGAACCTGAACCCTCCGCCCGCGAGTCTCTCGCAGCAGCTTTTCACGAGCCGGACGGCTCTGCCCGCGGGTTCTCAGCAGTAGCTTCTCGCGAGCTCTCTCCCGAACCGTCCTCGTCCCGCGACTCGCCAGCAGCAGCCTTTTACGACGACCCAGCAGCAGCAGCAGCAGCCTGTCGCTTCCCAGCAGCAGCAGCAGCCTGTTGCTTCCCAGCAGCAGCAGCAGAAGCAGCAGCAGCAGCAGCAGCAGCAGCCTGTTGCTTCCCAGCAGCAGCAGCAGCAGCCTGTTGCTTCCCAGCAGCAGCAGGAGCAGCCTGTTTCTACTACCCAGCAACAGCAGCAGCACAACCTTGAGTTCCTCGCTGACGCAACCACCGGCGCGCTGGCTGAGGATTTTTCGACGGATAACCGCTCCGCCTTCGACAAGGAGCTGGACGAGGGGCTGGACGAGGAGCAGGACGAGGAGCAGGAAGAGGATGACGAGGAGGATTCTGAGGACGAAGCTGGTGCCGAACAGCATCAGCAGCAGCTTGCTCAGCAGCAGCAACAGCTGGGCGTCGAAAAAAACGGTGCCGTCCGCGGAACACGGTCGGAAGGTGAGTGTTTTCTTGGAACATTTGACCTGTATTATTCTTCCAGCTGTGATGTTAAGTTTTTACTTGATTGTTATTTCATACTGAACTTGTCGTTGGTTCCTATTTGCAGGTATCAATGCGTACTGGGTCAGACAAAATCGCGGACTGCAGGCGCATGTTGAAGATCTTAAAGCAACCGTTGACATCCTTCAGATTTCGCAAGCCGAAGCGCAGCAGAAGCTTGCCGCCGCCAAAGCTGATTGCGAAATCCTGCGTTCCCGACTGGGTGAGCTTGAGGCGCAACAGGCGGGCGGGGTGACGGAGATGTCTTCAGACGGCCCCCATGTCAACCCGGCAAATCTCACAAGGGACAACAATGGTAACGTGATTGTGAAGACAAGCCTTGAAAAGAAGGAGTTCGCGGTAAGTTTCGTTTCTTATGGAAGATTCGTTGTTTGACCGTCCGTGTGTTTAATATTCGTGTGCTTGTATTTAGAGGGCCTTACCGTGGTCATCTGCTTTTAATAATGTTTCTGCTGTTTACTCTTTCATTCGACTGCAGGTAAAGGCTCTCGACACTTTCACGTGGCTGATAACAGACGCGCAAGTGGAGTGCATGGAGTTCTTCCCAACGTTCGAAGTCTTCCAACCTCATCTCATCACCAAGTACCGGTTGTGTGGAGTGAATCGCGATGAGTATTTCTACGCGACTGGCGGCAGAATCGAGTTCGAGAAGCTGGTGATGAAGGGCATCAAAACGAAACGTTCAAACACCCACAAGAAGGTTCGTTTCTATGCATGGGGCGCGGGTGGGTTGGTGGATGAGAGCAAGTGGCCGTTGCTGGCGGTGGAGCTGATCATTCCATCTAAGAAGCGCATGGAAGAGAAGTGGCTGGAAGACTTCAGGCATGGTAAGAAGCACGGTAGTAGTGTTTTAAAAAAAAAAATTTACACACTAGACTAATTGCTTGTTGTTTCCTGTGCAGCTGTACTTGGATATGCGTGGCATATTAATGGCGAAGGGATTCCCTTTGCTAACATTGCTTTTGAGAAGGCAGCTTTGGCTGCATTCTCTGTTGTCACGTCCACTCTGGTCTACGTGAAGATTCCCATGCTGGCTTACCTTTGTGTTGTGGTAGGTTTCTTGCTTAGTATTTTAACGTTACCTGAAGCTTAACCACTAATAGCTGTTTCTTGTGCATGCGTGCAGGTTGAAGCCCCCCTTGAAAGCTACAGGCTGGGAAATGGCCAGCCTTCTCTTGGTGGTGTTCCGCTGACCAACAGTAACCTGGTCCGTGCCAAGACTATTATTGTTGTGGCGGCTCTGCACGCCGCGATGGTCAACAATCCCACCTTCTTGAAGCATGATGAAGGGCTTGGTGCTGGGTTCTGGGAAGGTTCGAATTCTGATTGAAATATGGGAGCGTGTTTTTCTGTAGTCTGTAGGTGTGTAGGTGTGTAGGTGTGGTAGTGTGTAGGTGTGTAGGTTAAATCCCGTAGTGCCTTCTAATTTGTATTGATTTCTAATTATTGATTTCTAATTATTGAGCTAATTGTAGAAATTTACAATTTTAATTATTATAATTGAACGGAAGCATTCGTTAATTGACAACTGTAATATGCTATAACGTTCCATTCGTTATTGGATTTGAATTTTGTAACAAATCAAGTTACCAGGTTATTGGCACAATCCAGACTTCTTAATCATAAGTGAAGAAGTTTCCGAATACAGGAGAAGTAACAGAAATTGTTACGTGTTACGCACTAGTAACCAACACTTTCCTGTTTTTTCACCTCTGCTGTTGACGCGATGGTAAATGGACTCCAACCACGGTTTACGCACGGGATGTCACAGTAAATTTCGGTTGATGTAAACCTAGGCCTCGATACTTCTCGGTCGTAACTGGGGGTACTGGGCAACTAATCGAAATTTATGACAAGTCACGCTAGGTCACTGTAGCACAGTTTTCGCGCGTTAACGGTGATCTTGACCCCCCTCTGTTTTCGATGTACATTGGGCAATACCCTTGGTCGTTTATTGCGGTGGGAAGAAACCACAATCTGCACGTCATACATCCCAAGCATGTCGGCGTTTACCACTCAATGGTGCGTTCCCATTTTTCTGATGTCATGCTCTTAGGTATGCTCTCATGCTCTAGGTGTGCTCTAATGCTCTTGGGTCTGCTATGTAAATGTTGCTGTCTTAAACCTGCCCCAAAGGGTCCTCGACCCCAGTCTGTTCTAAAGCTAACCCTAGTCAACTTTTGGGTCAGACATTAGTGAGGAGGCAATTTGAAGCTATTAAGTGTCTAACCCCACCATTCTTAACGCGTTTGTTGAGGTTTAGGGATGCGGGTTCGATACTTGGTGCTGGCAGTTCTCTTCCATCAAGATTTCCTTGACTTCTATCTTGGAAGGCTGCCAACCGAGTGACGCGATGAAGACGCGGGTTCGATACTTGGCATCGGTTGTTTACTTCCCTATTCATCTCATTCTCCTCCCGTTCCCTCCCCTTCCCCTACCCCGCCTTTCCCCACCCCTCTCTCCCACCCCCCATCCATTCTCAGCCTGTGCGCCCAGGGCTGCCGCCGGACGCCAGCCAGCTGCAAGCAACGGCCGAGGGCAGGGCCTGGAACAAACCATTGCACTTCTCCTTGGCCTCATTTCCTCAAAGGGTATCATGGACGCTCACCCCTCTTGGCACTCCTCCTGCTCACAATTCACTGCTCACCTCAGCGCTTATATCGCCGCTCTTTCTATTTATACTCCATCCATTTTCGCCGCTCCAGTCTTGTCGTGAAACAACAACTTAGCTTGTCACGCCGATCACTCCCACGTCTCTTTGCTCGCCACGTGTTCATGCTCCGCCTCACCTCGCTTTTGACTCCTTTTTCTTCTCCTCTCTGTTCCTTCCCTATGGTCACGTAGATAAGCCTCCGGTAGACCCCTGTGTGGCGAAAAAGTGTGGCACCAATGCGGTGTGCGTCAAAGACAAGGGCAGTGCCAGCTGCGTCTGCAATGTTGGATTCTCCATGACCCCCACCGGCTGTGTTGTTGCTGGTGAGTGCTGCTGCTGCTGGTAAGTGCTATTAGCTGGTGGTGCTGCTGGTGCTGCTGCTGCTGGTGGTGCTGCTGCTGGTGAGTGCTGCGGTAGTGAGTGCTTCACACCGCCACAGCTCTGTTAGAGCTTCATGACTGAGGCTTGTCACGTGGGCAATATCTTCCTTCCTGTTGTCTCCCCTCACTCGCTGAACCTCCTCCCCGCCTTTGCCCCCTTTCCCCAGACACATGTGCGATCAAGGCGTGTGGCGTCAATGGCAAGTGCATCAAGGACAGTGCTGGAGTGGCGTCCTGCGTGTGCGACGCTGGCTTTGTGCTGCATGCTGACAAGAAAACATGCACTGGTATGTATGCGTAGTCCCCCCTTCTTCATTACGGCGCTATCTGCCACTGTCACGAATGCATCTGTTACCTCTTTCCTGTCACGATGCTCTTCTAACTCACAACGCCTCCACTTTCCAGCTTTCACACACACACACACACACACACACACACACACACACACATACACACACACACACACACACACACACACACACATACACACAAGCTCACTGCTCCGTTCCTTCACGCGCACGTCGTCACCAAGTACGGCTTGCGCTCCCCACTCACTACTATGCCTCGTATTCTTCTTTTGGCAGACACTTGCGTACTCAAGAAGTGTGGGGGTAAATCCAAGTGCGTGAAGAGCGCTGCAGGAGTGGCGTCCTGCGCATGTGACACTGGCTTCGCACTGCAGCCTGATGGCGTCACATGCACCGGTAAGTGCCATGCCTTGTGAGATGCCATGTACCAAGCCTTGTGCTATAACACGTAGCCATGCATTGTGCTATGCCATGGACCATGCCGTCAAGTGCCATGCTGACGCTTTGTTGTCAGATGCTGAAAGCCTTATCAGAGCGTGTCGAGGCTTGTCACCTGGGCAGCCCTTTCCCATATCTAGCCATCCTTCCTTTGTCTACCCTCGTTTGCTGAACCCCAATCACCCTCCCAACCCCCTCCCCTCTGGCCCCCCTTCATCCAGACACATGCACGCTCAAGGCATGTGGCAACAACGGCAAGTGCACCAAGGACAGCGCAGGAGTGGCATCCTGCGTTTGTGACACTGGCTTCGTGCTGCAGGCTGACGGCACCACATGCACTGGTAAGTGCCATGCCTTGTGAGATGCCATGTGCCATGCTATGGGCTGCGCCGTCTTGTGCTTTGACGTGGTTAGTATTGCAAGTGCCATGCTGGTTCGCGCCAACAGTTGATGACAGAGGCACACCAGGCTTGTGCTTCTGCTTATCAAGTGAGTGCTGCTGTGAGTTATGTAACTTTTCCCTCTCACCCCACTCCTTCCCCCTGCAATCACTCTCCCAGACACATGCGTTGTCAAGGGGTGTGGCGGCAACGGCACATGCAGCAAGAACGTTGCTGGACTGGCGTCCTCCGTGTGCAACGCTGGATTTGTGCTGCAGGCTGATGGCATCGCATGCACCGGTATGTGCCGTGTCCACTTCCATGTGCCATGCCTTGTCGTGTGCAACGTGCCATGCCTGGTGCTACGCAATGTACCACGCCTTGTCATATGACGTCATGTGCCATAGGTTCTGATATGCCATGCCTTGTGAAACGCCATGTGCCATGCCTTGTTTCTATTCCATGTGCCATGCCATGGACCATGCCGTCAAGTGCCATGCTGATGCATGGTCAGGAGCGTGTCAAGGCTTGTCATTTGGGCAACCCTTTCCGTATATACCCCTCGTTCGTTCAACCCCCCTCATCCTCCCAACTCTCTCCCCTCTGTCTCTTCTCTACCCAGACACATGCACGCTCAAGGCATGTGGCGTCAACGGCAAGTGCAGCAAGGACAGCGCTGGAGTGGCGTCCTGCGTGTGCAACACTGGCTTCGTGCTGCAGGCTGACGGCACCACATGCACCGGTATGTGCCACGCCTTGTGAGATGACATGTGCCATGACATGGGCTGTGCCGTCTTGTGCATCAACATGGTCAGTATTGCAAGTGCCATGCTGATGCGCGCCAGTACTCGATGACAGAGGCACCCGTATTGCACTAATTTTGCTTATCAGGTGAGTGCCGTTGAGAGTAGTAATACACCTTTCCCTTAGCCTCTTCCCTCTCACCTCACTCCTTCCCTCCGTCCTTCCCTCCCTCCTCCCCCCCCTCCTTCCCTTACTCCCTCCTCCCCACTCCCGTTCTCAATGGTTTTGCGTTCGTACTCTTCTCCTTTCAGACACCTGCGTCATCAAGAGCTGTGATGCCAATGCGAATTGTGTGAAGGACGCTCAAGGCGTTGCATCCTGTGTTTGGAAAACGGGATTCCAGATGGTGGGAGGCACTTGCACTGGTACGCAGCATCTTTCCGATTAGCCGTGTAGTCGTTCCTGTTTCGCTCCCACTAGACCTCTGTTCACCGTCAATCTTTCCCTCTCTACCTCCCCCCCATTTCCCTCCCTCCTTCCCCCCCTCCTCTCCCTCCTTCCCCCCTTCCTCTCCCTCCCCTCCCTCCTTCCCCCCCCTCCTTCCCCCCCCTCCTTCCCTCCGTCCTTCCCTTACTCCCTCCTCGCCACTCCCGTTCTCATTGGTTTTGCGTTCGTACTCTTCTCCTTTCAGGCACCTGCGTCATCAAGAGCTGTGATGCCAATGCGAATTGTGTGAAGGGCGCTCAAGGCGTTGCATCCTGTGTTTGCAAAATGGGATTCCAGATGGTGGGAGGCACTTGCACTGGTACGCAGCATCTTTCCAATTAGCCGTGTAGTCGTTTCTGTTTCGCTCCCACTAGACCTCTGTTCACAGTCAATCTCTCCCTCTCTTCCTCCTCCCCACTTCCCTCCCTCCCTCCCTCCTTCCCTCCCTCCGACCCTCCCTCCGTCCCTCCCTCCGTCCCTCCCTCCCTCCGTCCCTCCCTCCTTCCCTCCCTCCTTCACTCCCTCGTTCACTCCCTCCTTTCCTCCCTGCTCTCAAGTTCCCTCCATTTCCTCCATTCGTTTCCCCTGAAACGTCGCTGCTTACCCCTACCCGTATTCCTTTTGTACACGTCTGTACTCACACTCCTTGTGTGCACGACTCCTCTCACACTCCCCTTCATTACTCTCTCCCTCGTCACGTCCTTCTGCACAATCCTCCCACATTTCCTCCACTCCTCACTCCCCTCCCCGCCGCTCCTCCTCCTCCCACCCAGACACCTGCACGGTCAAGAACTGTAGTGCAAATGGCCGGTGCAGCAAGGACGCCACTACTGGAGCAGCGTCCTGCGTGTGTGACACTGGCTTTACGCTGCAGGCGGATGGCAAGACGTGCTATGGTATATGACGAAATTGCTGTGTGCCACTCTATGTGGTTCTGTTCGCTACTCTGTGTGCTGCTGTGATTGCTCCTGTCTTGATTTCACGTCTCCTCTCCAACTTCCACTGCATGGATGCTACCTTCAAATGCTGCCGTGCTGCCTCCAGTGCCATGGCATCACCATCTCATGCATTCACCACTCTGATGCGTTCACCACTCTCATGCATTCACCACTCTCATGCGTTCACCACTCTCATGCGTTTCCAACATCTCATTCAAACTATCTTGTTGTCTTCAATCTTCATTTTGTGTCCTCTCCACCCCTTTCCCCTCTGCATCGCCTCTACCCCCACCTAGCGCCATGCAACCCGCTCTGTGGTCCGAACAAGCACTGTGACACCACTACTGCAGTGGCGTCTTGTGTTTGTGACACTGGTTATATGGTGGACTCGGCAGCTCCTCAAAACTGCGTTGGTAGGTTCTGATTGTTGTGCATGTGTCTTCATTGGCTGCTGTGTGCTTCTGTGTCACAGCCACAGCCACTGTGATTTAACACAGTGCAGCTGTGATCTAGCGCGTCAGATGTGTGCAGTTGTGCAGCCTCTACCATGTGATGGTAACTCCTGCTGTCGCAGAGTTCTCACACCTCCTTGTGCATCCTTCTTTTCTGATCTCGATTATTGTTCAATCTCCCCCCTGTCCCTCGTGCTCGAATCTCAGTTTCTGTTCAATCCTATCTCCGTTTGGTGTCTTACTGTGTCATTGCCCTACTCATTTGTTACACGACATGTTTCTTTCTACATCCACCCACCCCTTGTCTCACTATTCGTGTCTCGGTGTGCCGTGTTCTTTCACCCCAACTCCTTCCAGATAAGTGCTATTACTATCTCTGTTTCCCAGGACAGACCTGCATGATGAATCTGTTCACTGGGGATCCATTTTGTTTTGGTGTCCCTAATTTTTATGGGTAAGTTCCGCCCTCCTTCAAGTTCCATGCGTGTGAGGTTTGCTTGTTGAGGAATCAATGTCTCTGTGACCCATTGTTATGCCTGCCATCCCTTGCTTGTTGAGGAATCAATGCTAATTGACCCATCGTACTGCTGCCACCTCTCGTATTCTAATCCCATCACATGGACCTCTCACTTCATACCTTGCATCTCCATCTCCTTCTTTGTCTTTACCAGCAACAGCTAAGGTGCCCTCAGTAGCTGTGACAAAACATCTGATCACTCCCGTGACCACCCATTCCCATCAAGCCTGTGAAAGCACCCATTAGCCACCCATGTCATGCGATCAGCCACTCTTCCAGAAGTTGTTTCTTGCAAAAAAGGGCTCTTCAGGCCAAGAGGCTCAAGGCATGGAGAGTGTCCCTACTTGAGTGCCTCTAGAAGGGAGGATGGAGAGGAAGGGTTTGACCTTTGTGTGCTTTGCCTTACTAGGGGGCATCATCTCCATGCTCAAAGGCACAAGCCAGGCATTAAACTGGTTGTAGGGCACCCTATGCAATTCGTTTTAGGGCACCCTGTTTGTTTGGCCCATGATATACCATATAAGACATATATGTCTTATCTCGTACACGGGCAAAAATGCTTGAGTTATCTTGTAAACGGGATGGTTTAGGGTGTCTTATAAGTCTTATAAATGGGAACTTTTTTAAAGTACTTGAAAAGAGTTTCTCATTATGAGTGTGGATGTTGTGAAGGTGCCACTTCGGCAACCATTGTTCGGGACGCCATGTCATGGAGAACACTTGCAGAGGCAAATTCGGTAGTACGTGAGTCAGCACGTGGCAGAATTCGCGTGTCGCAAGGGTAAAAATGTACGTGATATTTCTATTTTCACTATAATATATTGCAGTTTCGATTATAAGACACATATGTCTTATCTCGTACACACAAATAGGTGTCTTATAATGAGGCTAGCCTGTTTATAAGAGACACCCGTATAGTAGACAACCCCTGTCTACTATTCAACACTGTCTTATATCCGGGCGGATATGGTACTCTACATCTACAACTACCGTATTCTTCAAAAGTGGATAGCGTGGGTGTTTTGATGGTCATTTTAACATCAGTGTCTGAGGCCAGGCCCCTAGATTCGTTTTGAGGCACTCTGATCGATCAGTGTGTTAGATTCGGATTGAGTCTACGAAGATTATGAGCCTAAATTTCTCAAAATCGCTGGGCCTAGTTTCTGGACAGAAACGTCGACTCCACAAGAAACGCCGTCAACGAAACGTGCAACGTTAGAATTGTCTCAAACTCGAGTATGTTATAGCTCATGACCAAGGCTATCTTTCCCAATTCGAATCGTATCAAATGATGAAGTATATTTCGAGTTAACAATTTTGGCGCACTAGGGGGTATGCTGCCACAGAAAATTAACTCAATCACAATTAACTCACAAGTTCTCACAAGTAACACACAAGAGAGTTAGAGTAGCCAGGGCCCGTGCTAGGTTTTGGGGCATCCTGAGGCCTCAGGGCAACTTTCCAGAATTTGAAAAAATACCCTGATTTGTCAGGGCAAATTTCCAGAGGCTTCCTGTGGTTTCAGGGCTTCTGCAGAAATTTATCCTGGCCTGCCAGGGCAAAAATACGAGTGCTCAGGGTTTTGTTCTTAACCCATCTAGTGGCTGTTGGAGTAGGCTAGAGCTCGCTCTGGTCTTTATCTTGGTGTTCTTATATTATTTCTCCATTCTTAGAGAGAGTTATGCATTCAGGTTCATTTTAGGTTCATTTCGTAGTTCTTAGTACACACTGAACACACCCTAGGTTCAATTAGGGTTTCCAACCCTCTCTCTTTTGTATCTCGACATTTTCTTCCTAGTGTAACTTTTTCGACCCTACCTAACTCTCTCGCCATCCATGGCTCCTCTCATCTTAACATGGTATCAGAGCGTAGTCCTAGGCGTTTCATACTTATCCGTATTTCTTAGATAATCTCCGGCCCTTAGGCCATTTCCGCGCTACTTAGCTAGACGTTTTTTTTTATCTCCTTTCTTTCCCGTCACTCTTAAAAATCGCATTTTTTGCCACATTAAACTCTCGCGGATCCCTCAAACCAGTCCGTAGCGCGTCGCCATAGCGCCCTTATCACTCTCCCGCGCCTTCCCATTCGTCGCGCCTCCTTCTCCTCCCGTTTCTGACGGTCGCGCGCCCATTTTCGCCCAAAGCGCGCTCTGCCGTCCCCCCCTTTTCCCATCCCGTCGCGCGCGCTTTCCGCTCCCGCAGCCGCGCGCGCTAAGCACCGTCCAGCAGCGCGCGCGCCTGCCCTTCCTTGCGGCGCGCCCTGCCCTTCCTCGATCCGCCCCTTCCCTCACCCTCCTCCTCCTTCTCTCTCTCCTTTGTGCTTCCCCCCACTATCTCACCCCTCCTCCACCTCTTTCCTCTCTTCATCTGCTGCAGCTGGTAGCTGATTGTGTTGTGTAGCTGTGGTTCCTCCACACCTTCCCTCCTCCTCAACATCCCCCTCTCAACTGCTCAACTGCAAACTCTTCACAATTCTCCCTCCTCCTCTTGTTTCTCCCTTCAGCGGCACAGCAGCAGACTTCTCCGCCGCTATCCCTCCTCCTCTAGTTTCTCCCCTCAGCGGCGCAGCAGCAGACTACTCCGCCATTTTCCCTCCTCCTCTGGTTTCTCCCCGCATCGGCTCAGCAGCAGACTACTCCGCCGTTTTCCCTCCTCCTCTGGTTTCTCCCCGCATCGGCTCAGCAGCAGACTACTCCGCCGTTTTCCCTCCTCCTCTGATTTCTCCCCGCATCGGCTCAGCAGCAGACTACTCCGCCACTATCCCTCCTCCTCTTGTTTCTCCCCTCAGCGGCTCAGCAGCAGACTACCCCGCCCTTATTCCTCCGCCTCTTATACCTTTCCCCACATCTGCTCTGCAGCTGTCTCCTCCTCCTTATGGCGACTTCTCTCGCCCTCCCCTCCCTCCCTCTGCTGGTCCTTCAGCTCGCGCCTGATGGCAGCGCAGTCAACTTCCCCAGTTGGCTGAACTGTCTTGAGCGCACGCTGTCTGGCACCCTCGTGAGTGGCTTTAACCTCTGGTTTGTCACTCAGCAGAGTGGTTCTGGCGCCATTCCTACCTCTCCCTCTGCACCCACCTCTTCCTCCTCTGACCCCTATGCTGATGGCCTCCGTGCTGCCATTGCTGAAACTGAGCGCCTTGTGGCCACGGCGCAAGCCACTGCCGCGGCTGCTCCTGACAATGCTGCTGCGCGTGACTTAGCTCGTATTCTTGCTGAGTCCCTCGAGAGCACCCGCAAGCGCCTCATTGAGCACCTCGCTGCCCCCTCTCCTCGCTCTGCCTCTACGCCCCTTTCCTCTGCTCCATCTCACTCTGACCTTCTCGCTGACTGGCATGTTGCCAACGCACGTGCTTGTCAGGTCATCCTTGCCTGCCTACCTCCAACCCTTCTCCCTCAGTGCTCGCACATCCGCTATGCCAAGGACCTTCTCGGCTATCTCACCGAGCGCTTTCAGTCACAGACTCCCATCAGTGTCATTGCCCTCTTACGCGAGCTCACCTCTCTTCGTCTTCCTGACTTCACCACCATGGCAGACTACATCGCTCGTGTGCAGACGCTGTCCTCCCAACTTGCCGCTCAACAGTTTGAACTCTCCGATCATGTCTGCGGTGCCCTCCTCCTCACAGGCCTCACTCCTGAATACAGTGTTCATGTCACCCTGTATGGTGAGCGCCCCGCCGACCAGTGGTCGTTCTCTCGTGTCTCTGCCTTCCTCCTCCAGGCAGAGCTCAACCTCCGCAGCTGCCCTCCTACCGCCGCTGCTGTCACACCCTCTTCTGCCCCTCCTCCTCTCTCCACCACCACTGCCGCCGCTGCTTCCTCTCGCCCTCGCAACACCTTTCCTCCTTGCACCTACATCATTCGCCAGGGGCCCCGCAAGGGTCAGCCCTGC